CACCTTTGTTTCTTCTCTTGCTTATACCTTAGTTTGAAAATTGCCTTTTCTAGGTGTCTTGGATGATGCACTTTCATCCTCGGTCACATCATAACACTTATCTCGATTATATTTGTTTTTGCGAATAACGACACGTATTTAGAAGTTAATTGAGAATAAATTAAAAAAATTAGAAATTAAAATTTTATTTGAAAATTAAATAAAAAAAAACGAAATAAATATGAAAAATGATAGATTAATATAGTAATAGCAATAATGAAGTCAAAATTGTAGCTTTGGTGTAACCAAATTATATTAATATAAAATTAATAAGACCCAAATATTAAATTAATTATGATGATAAATAAACACATGAGATGATAAATTATTATCATTATAATTTTGAAAAATAATGTGATATTTTATTCCATTAGGTTTGAATAATAAGTTCAAACAGACACACATGACAGGTCATTAATATTACATTATTGTATCTTAAATTGTGTCTTGTCGTAAAATATTTGGAATTAAGTATTAATTAAAAAATTGAGCAGAGGTAAAAATGTTGGAATTCTTAATCGAACGTAGGTCGGTTTTGTCTCCTTTAGAGAATACTTACTTACTTGTACGGTAAAAACCTGACACAAATAGATTGAAAAGCTACTCGTTTCTATTCTGGTTGAGATTGTTTATCGATGTTGTCGTGTAGAAACTTTTTCTTGTTCTATGGTGTGTTTTTTTTAGCTGCATCCCTAACTATTTTTTTAAGCAAAGGGCTTTTCACTTACTAGTCGGGCTGTAGGGTAGGGCATATTGGATGAAGTTTCGATACCACTAGCCGTCTCATCTTAAAAGGGCTTTTCACTTATTAGTCAGATGGTAAGGTAGGGCATATTGGACGAAGTTTCGATATCACTAGCCGTCTCATCTTAAAAGGGCTTTTCACTTATTAGTCAGATGGTAGGGTAGGGCATATTGGACGAAGTTTCGATACCACTAGCCGTCTCATCTTAAAAGGGCTTTTCACTTATTAGTCAGATGGTAGGGTAGGGCATATTGGACGAAGTTTCGATACCACTAGCCGTCTCATCTTAATATCCCCTGAAAGCTCGAGAAATGATATTTTTACTGAGGTCTAATATTTATTTTGAAATATTATAAATAGTCATTGTTGTTATATTAGGTGAAAATGTTGAATTTTTTTAATGAAAGTTGCATTTTATACTTCTTAAGCCACGAACTTGTTCCCTTACATTTTTTGTGTTAAAATTTGTACGTTAGAGTTATTCAACTAGTATTGATAAGTTATCTTACATGATTTGAATGTTGAGTTTAAAAACAAGTTTTTTTTACTCTTGGTATCGAACATCAAGGTAAATCCTAGATTTACTAGAGCATCATTTAAAATTTATATCATTTAGGTAAAAAATTCACCGATAATAATAATAATAATTATTATTATTATTTTAAATATATGGCTCAATTCCGTGAGATTCTACATCAGTTGAAGAGGAGATCGAAACCTTTTTATAAGAGTGTGAAATCTTTTCCTAGCAATCGGGTTTTAAAAACTTTGACAGAAAACCCTAATAGGACAATATCTGATATTCCGTTGTTACAGATTCTCTGTTCTTACGGTTGTACTAATTGTACTAATAATCAGTATAATACATATGTATCTTAACTAATCGAGCTAATATATAGTAATGCGATAGTTCAAATTGCAAGAACAAGACAAGAAAACACTACAACTTTGTCTGATGTCTGATACTTTATATGAAATAATCATGGGAAAGAGAAACTAAAAGGAAATAAGAACAAAGTTTTGTTCCATTGTATTGTAAAGAGTTGACTAATAAAACGACGCCGTATTTGAAAAGTGGAATTTGGTAGTCTCTTCCAAGAACATTGACTCGTGGGTCTTCTTCTTCCTTCGCCTCTTTTGTTCCTTTCTCATTACTTTCCGTTTTTTGAGACTTGTTTTAAAGTTTCAACCCACCAAATTATTGACGATTCTCCATAGTTGTAATACCGATATTGTTACGGGATTAATTTTTCGATTTTTTCGGACTCTACATAAAAGAAAGACCAGCATGCATGTAGTGACGTCTCTAATTTAGACAAGAAAATTAAGGTTGTTACAAACGCCCAGGCTAAACTTATGAATTTCAGCTTTTGACTCTCCGTTAATTGAATCTCCTACTCCTGCTATTATTTCGAGACGTTCTATATACGAGCCTCTTCAAACATGACTTATTGCTATTGATTCGATAATTCCTATCGGATGTGGCCAGCGAGAATTAATTATTGGGGACAGACAGACGGGTAAAACTGTAGTAGCCACACGTACCAATTCAATGAACTAATATCGGTACCCACTGGTATCTCTTTTTTGCCTGGCCAACCCTTTTGATTGGGATATTTCTCTTGTTTTGGTGGATCTCATGGGAGCTTGCTTACGCATGGTAGAAAGCGTAATTTATTCATGCATTACGATAGCCTTTACATGATGAATAATTAAAATATTTTCTCCATCTATGAATCTGATAACTGCATCGGTTATGATTTGGCAAATTTCATAGAATGTTTCGCACTGCAACAAAATAATGGATATGATTGTAGACTATATGTAAATAGTAACTGCTAGGGTGATATACGAGCCGTATTTCAATGTTAATCAATTTCGAAGTAAGAATGAGATTGGTGGATCAATCGATATGATACAAAATATGAATTGTAAGTATGCTGAGTCTAACATGCGCGGTTACGGATTATCTTTGTGTTAATCTCACAATTTTGACCTCTAGAAGAGGTTTTCTTGTTTAAATAAAATATGCAAACCCGTTCATCAATTCCAATGAATGTCGTAATACGGTTTCAATATACGACATAACAAATTTAAAGATGACCTGATAACACGTATATTCTAGTCATTTATTGTATATGTAACATTTTAAACAGTCGAATTGTGATCTAAGTTGTCAACGTGAAATCCACATTGGTTGAAGAGAATAATGAAACATTATTTATAAATGTGAAAATTTCTCATTCCCACCCCCTATTTCATTTCTTATCTTCAATAAATCTCTCATTTACTTTACTTATTTATTTTTATTTAAAAAATAATCATTTTAAATAAACTTTTTAACGTATACTTTTCATTTTTTTAATATAAACTATGATGTAAATTATTATTTATTAATATAAATTATTATTCGTTGAATTTATAATGTCTCTTTATATTTAAATGAATTGGTTTTTATTAAATATATTTGGTTTTTTATGGTTCCCTTAAGAATATTTAATACTAAATTATAGTTTACCATATATATTATATTTGATATTTATATCTAAAGATTTGTCTTATTACTATGGGTATATTTCCATTTATTACTATTTAAATATCCTTGTAATTTATCTGATTATAAATAGATAACTTTCACACCATTTACGTGTTGTGGATTAAACAAACATTCTCAATAACCTATACTTTTATGTGAAATTAAACATTAAAATGTAACGACCATACAGTGAGTTTCGAAGGGTGTGGATTATGTGATCTTACATTGTTTGAAGTGAGGAACGTGTGTCAGCAAGGACACTGGACCTCGCAGGGAATGGAAAGTGAGATCCTAGCTTAGTTGGAGAGAGAATAAGAATGTTTGATTAATTCATCACACCTAAATGGTATGAAAGTTATCTTATTTATAATCAAATAAATTACTACTATATGAAAATAACAATAAATGGAAAGATACCTATGGTAATAAGGCAAATATTAGATATTTGTCTTATAAAAATATCAAATATAATATATATGGTAAGCTATAATTTATTACTAAATATCTTAACACTCCACTACAAGTTAAGTGTCGGATTTAACGAATGTGAAGCTTGAATATGAAAAATTTAAAGAGGTTGAGAAACAATTTTCGTGAAGATGTCAAAAACCTGGTTTAGAGGAGGAGGCATAGAGAAACACTTTCTTGGCCATCGAAAATTGCAGAGGGATCGCCGCTCAGCGGCGATGCTACCTTGGCTTCGGCAAGAATATGTTTAACCCATGAAGAGGGATTGTCGCTTTGTATATCTAACTCCAAGAAGTAGAAGAGGAAACCTAGAGCAAGGGACAAACACAATGTTGAAGCTGGAAGAGTTGCCACATTGGGCGAATAAGCCAATTTTGGCGAGAAGGGCGGCGGCAACTTGGTTGGCAAAGAGGCCAGTGCGGCACGCAGATTCCAAAAGTAAATCTTTGCAGAATGTTGATAGGTTTAGGTTAGGGTTTATGTGAAAGATGAAGGGAAGATGAGGAAGAAAACGAAAGAGATATATTGGTTGAGGGAAAATCAATTGTGTTGGAAAAGGTAAGGTTGTATGTACAAGGTATGGCTAAGGATGATTTGGAGGTCAAAAGAGTGGAGCTGAAGAGTAATCAATCGGCTCTACATGTGGCAACCATGACGACTGTCCCTACAGCGTCAAAGCCAGCAGTGGTGGCGGAGAAGAACAGTAGAAGATTTTAGAAGCCATTAAAAAAAAAGAATCTTACAGCGTCAAAGCCAACCGTGGGGGCGGAGAAGAACAGTAGAAGATTTTAGAAGCCATTAAAAAAAAAAAATCTGAGTTCTAAACCAAACTTGCTCTAATACCATAATAATGTTTGATTAATTCACACACAAATAGTAATAAATGGAAATAACAATAAATGGAAAGATACCTATCAATAAAATCAATATTAGATATTTGCTTTATAAACTATCAATTATTACGGAAGACTTATTTAATTAGAATCCAATAATTTTTTTTTTTTTATAAATAATAATAATAAAATAAATGAAACTCTCACGAATCAATAATTAAATTTAGAAAAATTATTTTTTTGGTTCAGGAATGTATTATTGATAGCGTAAATTTCCATTTTTAGAATTTTAAAAAATTAAATATATTATTGAAGCATTAAAAAAAATTAAATTTAAGAATATTTTTTAGACTAAAATTAGGTTTTTTTATTAATTTTTTTAAGGAAGGGAAAAACGGCTCACAGTGATCTCGTTTCAGTCGGCTCTCCTCCGACCGATACCCACTCTCTCCAGTTTCCATTGATCCCTCCCTCTGAAATCCAAGTTTCAGCCCTAACTATACGCTTCGGCCTTTTCTCCATCGCTCCCTCTCGATTTTCAGTCACAAGGTAACTCTGGCAATGGAGCAATTACTTTTATTCAATTCTTCAATTCCTTTTGCAATGAAGTTTCTGTTTCTTAATCGTTCGTTCAAAATTGGAATGTGGCCGAATTAAACTTGATTGAAACTTTCGTAAGGAAGTATTTTCAATCCGGTTTGCTTATATGGCAATCTGAATAGCATGATGAGAAGCTACTATCTCAGTTTTAATGTCTTCTGTCCTTCAAATTATGTATACATTCGATTATTTATGAATGCTTTGTTTATCTGTTAGTTGGCTTCGGGTTGATTGATGTTTTTTTTTTTCTTTATTGCAGTCATGGCTTTGCGTTCAGTGACTAGAAGGATTGGAAGTAAATTTTTTCCAATGTTTTCTTCTGCCAATTATTTACATTCACATGCTACAAGTTTTGGTTGGTTGCTCTCTCTCCCCCACTCCCCCCNCCCCCCCCCCCCCCCCCCCCCCCCCCCCTCTCTCATTAGAACAGGAAGGATTTTTGGAAATGGTTGTCTTGGTTTTATTTGGCTTTTGTGGTCTTTGTTGGTGCCTAGTGTTACAGTGTACATTTTCAACCTTGTAACATTATAGTCCCAAGCTCCATTCATATTTTTCATCTGGCTTTGTGCTTTGTTGGACCTTAGACGATGTTCTCCTTCGCTAACCGAACACCACTCACGTGGAATTTAAGCTTGTTTGGCCATAGATACCGTCCGTGTGTGCATGTTCAATCGTGTGCGACCTTAACTGACTTACCTCTATGCTAAGCCAAGTCATCTAGCTCGACCTCATCACTACTCTAGGTCAATGTCATTCATATGCGTCGTCGCCTCTCATCTCGTTATCTTGATTCTCAACAACATGGCCCTCATATCATGATATCTTCTCAGGTCCTGTGATGTCATTGGCCATTGGAGCTTTCTTGGACATGTCTATTAAGAACTTACCCATGTGTTGTTCATATCATCGGGGCATCTCGAACATTCATCCATTTGGGTTTACACTCATTGTGCTAACATCTAGTTAATAACGATTAATTTTGGTAAATGATCATAGACAAATCTTGTTTTAGACTTCAAATAATTTGGTGTGAATTTAAAGTAACTTGCATTTCTCTTCGTTAATCCTCTTTTATTATAGTGTAAATATGAAAGAAAATGATCTATTGGTACTTTTTGCAGGATTCAAAGAAGTGCCTGAAGAGGAAAAAAGCCGACTAGTTGGTAATGTCTTTAGCAATGTTGCTTCGAATTATGATGTGATGAACGATTTGATGAGTGCTGGATTGCATAGATTGTGGAAAGACAGGTGCGACTATTTTAACTTGAATTTCATTCTCTCACCCACAGGACATATTTTCTTCTTTTCCTCAGGGCGTGACAGTTGAGTATCTTATCCTTCATCTGCCCTTTGGTGATAAAGGATAGTTTTCATGGCAGACGGGTGTGTATGCTATTTTGCGGAGGCTTTAGGGGGAGAAAAACAACAAAAGTTTTAGAGAGGGTGTGAGAGTTCTAGCAATATTTGGTCCCCCGTTAGATTCTCAGTTTCTCTCTAGCCTCAACTTCTAGGATTTTTTATAATTATTCGCTTGGTCTTATTTCTCTTGACTAGATCCCATTCCTGTACTTTGGCTCCTTTTTGTGGGTCGTTTGGCCCATAATTCTTTTATCTTCTCTCAATGAAAGTCAAGTTTTATGATTAATATATATATATATATATATATATATTATTTTTTATTTTTTTCTTCTTCTTTCTTCGTCTCTCTTTTATTCTTTTTTGTTTGTTTTGATGTTTTATGCTAAATATTGCAGACTCGTTTTTGAGCTAAATCCTTTTCCTGGAATGAAGCATCTTGATGTGGCTGGTGGTACAGGTACGCAAACTATTTATATTTTTTATTTTAAACATGTGATATCAATTCTTGTGATTGTCATAATTTGAAATTGTTTATGTGCTAACTTTGATTAAGAAGAGGCATTCATTTTTATCAACATTATTTGCAAAGTCTCTGTACTTTGTTTTTGACACTAATACTTTATGTTGTTTGGAATTTCAAAATTCTGTAGTGTAAGATTGCTTGCTTAGGTTAGGTAGCCAATCATCATTTGTGGACCTAGTGGTCAGTGATCATTCAAGTCTGAAAAATGTAAAAGACTTGGAGAGAATGTGTTCTGTTAGACTCCTGATTGTGACATAATGCACGAGAATGGGAAAGAAGGGCATGTCATTGTCGACATGTTAGTTAGGATTGAGGGGGTCATAGAATGTGTGTGGAAGTACATTACAGGGTTTTATGATGTAAAGGGCACGGTAGTATTATGTTTTCATGCTTTTTGTCTATGGAAAAGAGAGAGAGTTTACCAGCCCTCTCAAAATAGGCTGAGGTTGTTTTGTATTACCTTAGGAAATTTCCTTTTTCTTATATCAATATATCGTAAGGAAGATACCATGCATATTGGTATAATGGTAAAACCTCTACATTATTGGAATATGTGCACTGTCCATGTAATAGGACACTACTTTTGGTGGTTTGATTCGAGTTTTATCCAAGACCTTGAATTTGTTAGATTGTAGTGCAACCTATATTGAAGTTCAAAAGAACTTTTATCGTTTCATCCGTGCTATAATTGAAATTATGGATCTAAAAAGGGATTTGTTTTTCCTTTGATTTGGGGATATCACTCCTGTTGATATGTAATAACCCAAGCCCACCGGTAGCAGATATTGTTCTCTTTAGGCTTTCCCTTCCGGGCTCCCCTCAAGGTTTTAAAACGCATCCGTTAGGGAGAGATTTCCACAACCTTATAAAGAATGCTTCGTTCTCCTCTCCAACCAATGTGGAATCTCACTTGATATACCTTGTCTTAATGTCTTGTAAGAGCACTTTAGATCTAAAAGATTTTTTTGAATCCGTTAGACATTATTCAAATTAGCTCTGTAATTGAAGATGAAAATGAAAAGTCTGCTTAGCATAGTTGTTCACCATCTTTTGATGACTTCTTAGTTCTATCACTAGGTTTTCTGGATGCTTCAAAGGAAAATTGAGAGATGACTATTACGATCTCTAATGATACATATTGGTCATTCCATTAGGGCACATGAATCTTCCAAGTCTTTAAGCGTTCAAGAGGTGAAGAATTGTTTTATTGAAACTTATCCCCAGTACTACACTCAAAGAAAGGTGCATCGTTCTTCAATTCCTCCAATCATTGTGGATAATACATTAATCCAGATTGTATTGAAGAAATTGTTCTAGTCTTTGGGCCACATCTATCTAGAAATTTGTTTCTCATAATTGTAGTCGACAAGAATTTACAGTATTAGATTTTGATGTTTTCACTAAAGGAGTATTTCATTCTTCAAGGAATACCACTGCTTCTCCTTCTCTCACATGATGATGATGATTGTGATGTTGCATTTGAAGTTAGTTTGAGTAATGTGGAATCTACTTTTATGATTATAAAAACTATTATTAACAAAAGATTTATTAATGTGGAACCAAGCTACATCCTTCCGGCTTTAGCAGCATACCATGAGCTCTAGAAAATGAAGAGTAACACAAACTTGCAAGGATCGCCTTTAGCAACATACCATGAACTCTAGAAAATCTCGGTCTAAATGAACCAATTTTCACCTAGGAACCAGTTGAGAATGATAAAAGCCATTGAAATCAAAAAGTGCCGACTCCAATAGGAAAAACATAGCATATGGAAATGATGGAAGAAGCAGACTGATGACGCAGCCTACAGAGAGAGACCAACAATAATGTACTTAAAAATCACCAAAATCCCTACTTTTCAATAAATATAAAAATATCAAACAATCCTCTCTAACAGAACCTTTAAAACCTTAAAAACTACAAAAAAATAAAAAATAAAAAATAAAATAAAAAATATATAATTAGGGACCATTAAACTGAAAAATTCTCTGCTCTATAAAACAAGATTTTCCAAGATTTTAACACTAAAAGATTCAAGATTTACTACTGTTTTTCCCCAAAATCAGATCTGAAAATACACTGAAATTTCTGTAAAAGAGTAAAGACATTCATTTTTCATGTATAAATCAGAAATATAAATTACACTTTAAATTAGCAATCATTTTATGAACTTTTTGTGCAAAAAAAGTTCAAAGAAGCACTATAACAGTCCCAAATTTAAAGAAACTCAACTGAAAATTTCTGGAATTCTCATTATTCGAACCTTCAATTTAAACCAAAGGCCGTAAAAGGAAAAACCTTGATAAAATTAGGCAAACTAAAAACCTGAAAATTGTTAGGGAAAATAACTTCCAAGATTTTCCACTCTAGTCAATGAAGAAGATTTTTTTTTCTTCTCTCTTATAAATCTCTTTTTCGCTTCTCATTAGTTTATTCTGATAGATAAAGCCTGTTTTCTATTAAAAGAGCAATCTAATCTTCTGTGTTTCTATTAAAAAAATCTTAAATTTTTAGTTACTAGAATCTTGTGTGGGTGCAATATTTTTTTCCTTATCTTCCATTTGTAATCTATTTGAAACTTTCGATGGAAGTTCTCTTTGGATGTAAATAACTTGAATTTCAAAACTATAAATACTTACCACATGAATTTCTGTCTCTTTTGTGCTTATAAGATGTGACAATTATTAGCTGTTATATTAATTTCTCACATATTGCAGGTGATGTTGCTTTCAGGATTCTAGAAAGTATTAATGATGTGAAACGTAGAGAAAGGCAAGATGTTCAGGAAGATGATTCTCAGGAACAAACTCAAATATATGTTTGTGACATCAACCCACATATGTTAAACATTGGTAAAAAGAGAGCCATTGGAATGGGTAAATATACAATTGGCATGGAATTGTCTGCATTTTCTGAATGCAATTTGTTGTCAGGAAAATAGTATCGTAATGTTTTCAACTTATAGGTCTGGGAGAAGAAAGATCTCTTATATGGGAGGAAGGAGATGCCGAAGCTTTGAGTTTTCATGATAATTCAATGGATGGTTACACAATTGCATTTGGAATTAGGAACGTTACTCACATTGAAAAAGTTCTAGATGAGGCCTATAGGTAACTCTATATTGTCTTATGATTTTTTTTTTCTTTTTGTATTAAATCCTATGAAAAAAATGAATTGTGTAGGTTGAATAAGACCAATTTTGGTGTAGAGAATGTGTATAAGGCTGCCTTCAAGTGCAGATTGCATTTACCCCTTTCTAAAATTCATCTACGTGATATTGAGCCATTTGAGGGTTTCTATGGGGCAACTGATGCCCAATTGGTAGAGCATTTTGATGGGACCCTGCATGATGTCAGTTCATGAAGGGGTTCCTTTAGTGCTTCGTGAAGGGGTGGGAGAATGTTACACTCTGTGAGATGCTAACCATGACATTGAATTCAAAACAACATTGTCCTTAGCAAAAAACACCACGCTTAAAGAAAACATTCAAAACCAACCCATGGATTGAAAACACACGCTAGCTTTGAAGTATCCACTTTTGTACATCCACTTTTGTACGGGCTCTCTCATAGAAAAAAGCCACGATTAAAGAAACATGAATGCTGTCAACAAATTTTGGGACCCGAAGCTTGGTAGGAATCTAAAGGATAATGAAGCAATGGAGTGGGCCAAATTAAGCCTTGACCTTGCCCCTGTGGTATTGTCAAACAAAGAAGACTCACTAACTTGGCTCCCGGTGCTGACGGGGTCTTTTCTACAAAATCCTTGATGATGGACATGGGGGAAAAAGTAGAAGCAATAAATCCCATGCAAGCAAAGACAATATGGAAAGGACATCAACCTAAAAAGGTGAAGTTCTTTCTTTGGGAAATAGCGCATAAAGCCATCTGAAAATCTTAAAAAAAGAATGTCTTACATCACTCTCTCTCCAAATTGGTGTCCACTATGCAAGAAAGAAAACGAATCACAAAGTCACTTGTTTATGCAATGCACATACACTCAAAATTTTTGGACAACGATTCTTAATATATTCGGATGACATCTCACATTTCCTAAGGAGGTAAAGGATTTTTTGGGTATGGCCTTAACGTACCACCCTTTCAAGAACGCAAAAGCCCTATTATGGAAAAACCTCATCATGGCTTTCTTTTGGAATCTGTGGAAAGAAAGAAATCAGAGAATATTTGCAGAAACGACACAGACCTACACAAAACTTTTTGACAATGTTGTTTACCAAGCTATATCTTGGTGTAAACTGTCTAATATTTTTACTTCCTACAGTTATACCTCCCTCATTGCAAATTGGGAAGGTCTTTTATTAACATCATAGATTATACATCCCTCTTGTAAATTTCACCCATCAATGAAATTGTCTCTTATAAAATTAAAATTAAAAAAAAAAAAAAAATTGTCCATAGATGAAAGTTTGTGCTAGAGACCACTAGGTATGACAAACATTGGAAGGGCTCTTTATGGCATCTTGATGGCATGGGGTAGGGACTGTTGGGGATGTTTGATGATATTTTGTTGTTCCCCCTTTCAGAGAGAAGACAAAAACCCTTTGATAGGCTTGGTATTTTGTGCTACTGCGTGGGGGATTTAGCTTGGGAGGAGTCCTAGCATTCTTGGTGAGGGTGAAAGATCTGAAGAGTTTTGGGAGTTAATTAGGTTTAATGCTTGGCGTGGGCTTCTGTGACTAAGGTTTTGTTTGTAATAACTACCAGCTAGGTTTCATTCTTTTGGATTAGAGGAGCTGTATTTTGTATTTTTTTGTATATTCTTTCATTTTTCTCAATGAAAGCTTGGTTCTTATAAAAAAAAAGTGGTTTATGACTCGGCCTAATCTCATTATAGGATTAGGAGTTAAGTGAAAATTAGGAGGGCCAAGGCTTTCTTGGCTTCTACAAGGGAAGGTGAGTGATCACGTTGTCTTGTGCTTGAAAGCTAGCTTGTATAAGTTGAGATTGTTCAAGTAGATGTAAAGGAGCTGATTATAAGTTTCTATGCTCTTTATTGTATTTTTCATCGACACCTTCTTTGAGCAGCTTTTGTTGGTTGTAGATTGAAATAGGGAGGAATGAATTTGATTTGTCTGCTGTGAGCATGAAAGACGAAGTGAGGTTTGCGCGATCAAGGGACATCCTCTAAAAGTTCTTGCTCAAATGTTATAAGTGATTTTGACTCGACCGTTGGAAGATTACTTTGCTTGCCCTTAGCTAGGGGTTCGATTGTTTGTTAAAGCGTTGGGGATCCTTTAGGTTGGAGAGATCGAGTCTTTCACCCAAAGTGGAACTTTTCAGTATGTGAAGTGGGCAACGGTGTCCATGGCTAGTATCCAATCAAGGATTCCTCAGGAGTAGGTTGAATTTTTTCCCAAGCTTGAAAGTTCAAGATCCCAACAATGAAAAAACTTTCCGTTGGTATTTTTCATAAAAATATAAATTCTCTTAGCCACATCCAAGGGAAGAACATAATGTAGCCTTGTCTCATAGGAAACACGGACATGGATTGGACACGTGTTCGACATGCTAAAAAACGCACTAGAAAATATTTAACCTAAAGTATAGGGGGAAAAAGTATATTTTTTCTTATAGATTGGTTCCTTGTATATTAATCAATCCTAAAGTATTAGGACAACGTCTTTTTTCTCTAGTCATAACCAACTAAATCTTTCTACACCTTTTAAGATTTCAAATATTGTTAATCGGCTTAACTTCGTATATTTTTTTTGAAGTATATTATGTTTTTATGTTAAATTTACATGTTTTATCTATAGTGAAGTATTAATATATCAACATATACAAATGTTATAGGGGAAAAAATGTGTTCTCAACGGGTTTGTGTCTTACTTTTTTAGAAATTGACATGTGGTCGTGTCCGTGTCCGTGTCCATGTCCATGTTCGTTCTTCTTAGCTTGTCTCCTTGTTGGTTTATTCTCTTTTTCTGATACACTGTGTAATAATCTTGTTTGGCACTTTGATGGGGAGATGACTCGTCTTCACTCTCTCCTTTGATAATGATTATTTTTCATTTCTTAAACTATCTAAGAAACATGCTCCTATTCGTCTCTTGCTTTCTTTTGGAATTAGTTTTTACTTACAAAGTGTGTTTGTTTGTAGGGTTCTAAGACGAGGAGGAAGATTTCTTTGCCTCGAGCTAAGCCATGTTGAAGCTCCCATATTTAAGGAATTGTACGTAACTTTCACACTTTTTAATAAGGGAAAATTTAATATTTCGTGATTTAAATGATAGTGATCTACAAACTTTAATGTCTCTTGCATTGATGCGATGATTTAAGCTTTTTGAATTTTTTGAAAACTTCTCATTAACTTTTCTATTATATTGATTTTTTAATGAATTTTGGCATTGAAAATGTCACTCTGAAAAAGCTTAGAACGACGTTGTCCGAAACTTTTTGGCTAAAGTTTTGGAAAAGAAAATTTGGGTTGAAATGGAGAGTTTGGATGTGGAATAGTATTAAGACGGTTAACTTCTCCATTTTTGTTAATGGAAGGCTGAGGGGTAAGATTTTTTCTACGAGGGTCCTTAGAAAAAAGGAGATTGATTGTGGGCATTTCCTCTTCCTTTTGCCCTTTGGGGAAGACTAAAAGTTGGGTTTTCAGATTTTCTAGGATCTTGTGGTGGAAAAGGTTTAGAAAAGGTCAAACTTGAAAAAGGTCTGGTTCTTTAAAGGAGGCTTACTCCTACCAAGTGTCATAGTTGTGCACTTTCAACCATGGATTTTCTGCAACCCTACTGACTTACCTCTAACTATGCAAGTCATTCGGCTCGACCTTGTCTTTACTCGGGGCCAAGGTCTCTCATATGCAACATCGCATCTCATATTCTCATTTTGGTTCCCAACTAACACAATTTTTATGTCATGATGTCATCTTGAGTCTTGGGATTTCATCGGCCATCATAACTTGCTCAGTCATGCCCATCGAAAACGTGCCCATGAGTCGTTCATAACGTGCCCATGTGTTGTCCATGCCACATCATTTACGGGACTCTGTACCGGATAGCGAGTGCATATATTGTAACGGTCTAAACCCACCGCTAGCAGATATTGTCTTCTTTGGGCTTTTCCTTTTGGGTTTCTCATCAAGGTTTTTAAAATACGTCTGTTAAGGAGAGGTTTCCACGCCATTATAAAGAATGTTTCGTTCTCCTCTCCAACCGATGTGGGATCTCATAATCCACCCATCTCTGGGCCAGTGTCCTTACTGGCACTCGTTCCCCTCTTCAATTGATGTGAGATCTCACAATCCACCCTCCTTCGGGGTCCAGCGTCCTCGCTGGCATTCGTTCCTCTCTCCAATTGATGTGGGTTCTCACAATTCACTCCTCTATAGGCCCCAGCATCCTCGCTAGCACACCGCCCAGTGTTCACCCCCTTCACGGCTCAGCGTTCTTGCTGGCACACCGCTCGGTGTCTAGCTCTGATACCATTTGTAACGACCCTAGATTTCTACTAACCTAAAGTCGCTACCATCTTCATAACATCATCTCATGTGTGGAAATAAGCGTTTAAAACATTATAAAAGATTGTCATGAACATTATAAAAGATTGTCATGGATTTACATGTTTGAAAAGGGTCTTGAAAGCAGCATGACAAAATATTAAATAAAATAAAGTAAATAATAAGCATGTGTCATGGTTTTTACTTGCGTCGTCAACCATACAGGGGTCCTTTGCCTTTACTTGAAAAATAGGAGTAGCACATGGTTTGAGTATTTTATGAAATACTCAGTAAGTGGCTCTACTATTGGGGTTAGAGAATACAAACATGCAACTTATGATTAGGGACCTATCGTTAAAATCATAATAGAGGTGGTTTCCAATCCGGACTAAATTGGATGTGTAGTACTTCTCTAGACGCGACCCACACGTGTGAGCGTTGAATCCCTAGGTAGTTCGCACCCCCTGGACCCATCATAGTTGGGCTAGTTATACGTAGTCGGGCGTCCAACCCTCGAATATCATGCAAGACATGATCATCATCATAGTGTACGCGTTCGTACCCATCATCATAAATGAGGAAGTAACCCGATGTATATGAACACACAATTTGCATGAGGTCCCTATAGTTATCATCTTAAATCATTCTTATGACACAATCTTATATATCATTTGCATATTACTCTAGGTAACATGCATGCATTGGCCTTTATACGTTTATTATCATTAACATCATTTAGGGTTATTTAGGGTTGTGTTTTAGAAAATTGTTCATCATAATATCATAATGTATCAGAGCATTTAATACAGGCACATTATCTTAACATGGAATATCTCATCATATTAAGTCATATCATCATCATGCAACTTACATCATCATGTTATCATGCATTATCATGTCATCATATCATCACATCATTATATCGTCATGTTGTCATCCTCATATCATCGTCATCATATCATCCTATCATCCTATCATCCTATCATCGTCATCACATCATCATATAACGTCATCACATCATCATATAACGTCATCACATCATCATATAACGTCATCACATCATCATATAACGTCATCACATCATCATATAACATCATCGTATCATCATAAACATAAAGCATAAATGACACGTGAAAGGGCCACCTGGCACGTGTCATGATACATAAGGCGAGTCTTCCAACCGAGCAATAGTAAGGCCACTTACTTTGTTGGCCTAGGCCAAAGCTACTATGACTCGTTGATGCTGCTTAACGCTACTCTCTGAAATTTCATTACGCTTAAGGAGTCCAACAATCATAAATTAGAATTCTATTGTGTAATTGGCCTACCTAATTTTGCATAAAATAATTTAAACTTACTCCTAATAATTTAAACTAGCTGAGCCTAATTTTTACTCGTCACAATTTAAACTAACTAAACTTAATTATGCCTAAATAATTTAAACTTGACCCCAAAATTTAAACTAGCTAAAAGTAGTCATACTAACCTAAAAGGAATGGATCCGAGCGTATTGGACCCAAGTCGGATCAACCAAAATGCCAATCTTGAGTCGTTAGAAAGTGTGTTCTCCGACTAGTTTCGAATCGTTCAAGTGGGATGATAAAATGAAATGAGGGACCTCCCGAGGCCAACTCCCCATTTCTCAACTTAAGCAATGTGGGACAATTTCCTTTTTTTTTTTTTTTTTTTTTTTACAACCGTGCTACATTATTTACCCCTAAAAAGGACTTTCGAGTTGGTCTAGACTTGTTCAGAGACATAAAGTTGTAGGTTTCCTCACTCTGAAAATGTAAAAGGTTTGTTCAAATGTTTTGAGTTGGACTCAGTCAATTCATACAAGCACAACTCGCACGTACAATCCGTCGAGCTTTCAAAAGTTAAGGAATTTGCTGGCCTCAACCATAGTATAGACATGTGTTGGATGATATATGAAAGTTAGTAAGGTCTAATGATGTTATGAATAGATAACTAATTAGAGTACTAAGACAACTCTAAAAGCAACGATTCTGCCACATATTTACGAAAGAAACCTGAGATTGTTTGCCTCGTCCTTAAGTTGGATAACTTGACCACGTCGTAGATTACGAGTCCTTATAGGTAGATGATGACCTAAGTTGCGAGAAAAGACCAATAATAATTTTAGCTTGGGAAGTAGAGGTCTTATGTGCTAAGAAAATGGTCTTTACAAAACCATCCCGCGAAAGAAACTATGGGAAAACAGAGGGAAGAGATGAGGGAAAAATATCCCGAGTAATTTTAAGATTGAGACACTTTCGAGGACGAAAGTTTCTTTTAGATGTGTATGATGTAATAACCCAAAAATTAAAAAAAAATGGAAATTGTCTCACATTACTTACGTTGAGAAGTGGGGAGTTAGCCTCTACTATGAATCTACTATGAAAGGGAGATTCCTCACTCCATTTTATCATCTTACTTGAACGATTTGAAGCCAGTTAAAGAATACACTTTTTGACGGCTTAAGGCCGGTATTTTGGCTGATCTGACTTGAGTCTAATACGCTTGGACCCTTTCCTTCTAGTTTCAACTCTTCGAAAGTGTTTAAGGTTAATATGACTCATTTTTAGTAGTTTAAATTTTTGGAGTCAAGTATAAATTATTTATGCATAATTAGACTTAGTTAATTTAAATTATTTTATGTAAAATTAGGTGCGTCAATTCCGAGTAACATTCTAATGTATGATTGTTGCACTCATTAAACAGAATTTTAAATTTCAGGGAGCAGCATTAAGCTAACATCAAAGAGTCATAGTAGTAACACCAAGTAAATGGTCTTACTATCGGCTTGGTGAGAAGACTCGCCTTATGTATGACGACATATGCAAGGGTCTACGTGTCATTTATGCTTCATGTTATATGATGGTGTGATGTTGTTATATGATGATATGAGATAATGACATGATATGATGATGATGACATGATATGGTGATGATGCATGATGATGTAAGATGCTTGATGATGTGATGATGCTATATAATGATGTTATATGATGATGTGATGACGGTGATATGATGATGAAGATATGATGATGTGAGATGCATGATGATATGTTATATTAAGATGATGTGCATGTATTAAATGTCATGATACATTACGATGAAGAGTTTTCTAATATTCAACCTTAAATGATGTTAACGATGATGAACGTATGAAGGCAATGCACGCATGTTATCTAGAGTAATGTGTGAATGATGTATAGGGTTGTATCATAAGAACTATTTAAAATGAAAACTATAAGGACCTCATGCATATTGTGTGTCCATATACATCGGGTTATTTTTTCATTTATGATGATCATCATCATCATCATGCCTTGCATGATATTCGAGGGTTTGCTAACTTCTTGACAACTAGTTCGACTATGATGGGTTCAAGGGGGGTGCAACCGTCTGGGAACTCACGTTCGCATGTGTGGGTCGTGTATAGGGAAGTACTACACATGCAATTTTGTCCAGATTGGAGGTCATCTCTATAATAGTTTTAACGATAGGTCCCTAATCATGAGTTGCATGTGCTTGCATTCCTTGAGGTCACTTACGGAGTATTTTTCATAAAATACTAAAGACATGTGCTACTTCTATTTTTCAGGCAAAGCATCCCTGTATAGTTGACTACAACATCACAAGTAAAGACCATGACACATGCATAAGAGTTGTACTTAAATTTTTAGATGATAGGTTAGTATAAGACATTTTTCAATTTTAATATTTACTTTGTTTTATTTAATATTTCGTCACGTCGCTTTAAAGACTATTTTCAAACATGTAAGTCCATGACAATGTTTTACGACGTTTTAAATGCTTATTTCCGCACATGAGATGATGTTATGATGATGATAGTAACTTTAGGTCAGTAGAAATTTAGAGTCGTTACATATACCCACCTCCCATGCATGGGCTAGGGTACAATGTCAACATACCGTAATGAGATTTTCTAGCTAAGTGATTGTGGGCTTTTTCATGGAGTCTTAACCTGCTGTTGTCTAGGGTGATTATGAGTAGATACGATCTCATCCTTTTGAGTGGGATGCAAGTGTTGGCCAGAGAGGCCTTGGCAAAATTCTTTGGAAATGGTATCGCTTCTTTTTCCTTTCTCTCTTTAGAAGGTTCAAATTTCAAAGAAGGTTAAGGTGTTTGTGTGGCAGGTTTGACATGGGAGAGTTAATATCATTGATCGTGTTCAAAGACACTCTTTCTATGTTTTGTTTCCACAAGGATGCACTCTTCCTAAGCATATTAAATATATGTCTGGAAAATGTATTGATCTTTTAAGACATTTAATTGCCGACCAAGGTCACATTACATATACGTATGTATACATTAATGAATAAGATTAAATTACTTTCTTTGTTTGACATAAGCATATTAAACTAGGACACCTTTTGTTCTTGCTAATTTATATACCAGGTGGAATTCTTTATTTTAATGCTGTTTTTCTGTCTTCTTTGGTGGTGAGATCCCACATTGGTTGAAGAGGTGAACAAAGCATTCCTTATAAGGGTGTGAAAACCTCTCCCTAACAGACGCATTTTAAAACCGTGAGGCTGACGACGATACGTAACGGGCCAAAGCGGATAATATCTACTAGCGGTGGCTTGGGCTGTTACAAATGGTATTAAAGTCACACCGGATAGTGCGAGACACTAGTCAGAGTAGGGCTAGACTCTCTCCATAATTGACGCGTTTGAGAATCGTGAGGTTGACGACAATACGTAACGGCCCAAAGAGGACAGTATCTACTAGCGTGGACTTGGGCTGTTACAAATGATATCAGAGCCAGTCACCGGATGGTGCGAGACACTTGTCGGAGTAGGGCTAGATTCTCTCCATAGTTGACGTGTTTGAAAACCGTGAGGTTGACGACGATACGTAACAGCCCAAAGAGGACAATATCTACTGCCGGTGGGCTTGAGTTATTACAAATGGTATCAGAGCCAGTCCCCGGACGGTGTGAGACACCGGTCGGAGTAGGCTAGACCCTCTCCATAGTAGATGCGTTTTAAAACCATGAGGCGATGCGTAACAGCCTCAAAAGAACAATATCTACTAGCGGTGAGCTTAAGCTGTTACAGTCGTCCTCTTAATCAAGCCCTTGCAGCCTGAATTCTTTTACTTTACTTAATTTTCTGTTTTCTAATATATTTCCCATGCTAGGATACACTAGATATCATCATTAAATCAAGTTTTAACTTGAATTGCCCTCTTCTGGTGCAGGTATGACTATTATTCGTTTTCTATCATTCCAGCCGTTGGAGAGCTAGTTGCTGGTGACCGGGAATCCTATCAATACTTGGTTGAAAGCATCCGTCGATTTCCCTCACAGGTGATAGTCTTTTCCTCTTCTCTTCTTTTTCTCAGACAACAAACATACTTGAAGTTGTGAAAAGTAACAATCATATCAGTATGCGCTGTTTAAAAATTTCAAGAATACCTCCAATTATTATTAATTACAGAAGCATGGCATTACTGTTACAAATAAGGAAACACCACAGGAACCAAAAAGAAAGAGAGAAATAGAAATAGAAACAATGGAACAGGAAATTTTGTTTCGACGCACTGATACTGCAATACACAAGTTTTTTTTTTTTTTTTTTCTTGCGCCTTGCACTTGAGCTCCAAATGACTATTGTGCTTTAGTGTGGCTCTAGCCTTGAGAAGCTCTGCAGCTTTACGTGGTTGTCAGCTTCTGATTGGACATCATTTGACTTGCTAAGTCGATCATGAAAAATTATTATAATTATTCCAATGTTTTGTTTTTAGTAAACTTTTCGAAAGGGTGGGATATGTCATTATTATTATTTAGTTATCTAAGCACTGAATCAGTAACTGGTAGCTTCGTTCACTTTGGCGATAGGATTAGTTTGTTCATACTAGTTTCCATGACGAACCTTTGGCTTTTATGATAAAGATTACGAAGAGTTATTATAATCATTCGAGTATTTTGTTTATGATAAACTTTCCCAAAGACAAAAGGATATGTTCCTCTTATTAGTTGGTTATCTGAGCAAGCTATGCTTACTTTGGCGATAGGGTTAGTTAGTTCATACTAGTTTCCATGACCGACCTCTAACGTTTATTATAAAGATCCTGAAGAATTATTATAATCATTTCAGTCTTTTGTTTCTGATAAACTTTTTGAAAGGCAAAAAGGGTGGAATATGTCACTACTATTATTTAGTTACTGAGCACTGAATTAGTAACCGGTAGCTATGCTCACTTTGTCGATAGGATTAGTGGTCATACTAGTTTCCATGACCAACCTCTGACTTTTATGATAAAGATCATGAATTATTATAATCTCTCAGTCTTTTGTTTATGGTAAACATTCCCTAAGGCCAAAAGGGTGGGGATATGTTCTATTATTATTTGGTTATCTGAGCACTGAATCAGTAACGGGTAGCTATACTCACTTTGGCAATATGATTAGTTTGTTCATACTAGTTTCCATGACCAACTTCTGGCTTTTACGATAAAGATCATGAAAGTTATTATAATCATTCCAAGTCTTCTGTTTCTGGTTAACTTTCCCAAAGGTAAAAGGGTGAGATATGTTACTATTATTATTTAGTTATCTTAGCACTGAATCAGTAACGGGTAACTATGCTCACTTTGGCGATAGGATTAGTTTATTCTTACTAGTTTTCATGACCAACCTCTAGCTTTTATGATAAAGATCTTGAAGAGTTATTGTAATCATTCAAGTGTGGTTTCTGATAAACTTTCGAAAGGTAAAAAGGGTGGGATATGCTACTCTTATTATTCAGTTATCTAAGCACTCAATCAATAACGGGTAGCTGGTAGCTATGCTCACTTTGGCGATAGGATTAGTTTGTTCATATTAGTTTTCATGACCAACCTCTGGCTTTTATGATAAAGATCCTGAAGAGTTATTATAATCATTCAAATCTTGTTTCCGATAAACTTTCCTAAATACACAAAGGGTGGGGTATGTCTAAGCATTGAATTAGTAATGGTAGCTACGTTCACTTTGACAATAGCATTAGTTTGTTCATACTAGTTTTCCTTATTAATGATTTGGTGGGATGCAGGAGAAATTTGCTTCCATGATCGTCGATGCAGGCTTCGAGAAGGTCGAGTACGAAAATCTAGTTGGAGGAGTGGTTGCTATCCATTCAGGCTTGAAACTCTAGAACCAGCTTTTGCATCCACTTGTAACTTCATAACCAAGAGGTTGCTTCACTTTAGCTATTTCTTAATTCATGATAAAAATGTCCCCAGATGTTTCCTACTCTTTCCCCACAAGTTCTTAAATCTCAAAAATACCAATAAACCGATATTTTGTGTCAAAAATACTCTCGAAAGAGTTTAAAAAATACTGAACTTTTAAAAGTGTTTCAAAATATTTTTGAGTTTTCAGAAAGTTTATTCATACTCTTCGATTTTTAAAATTCAAAACTATCTTGACGTTAGTAACACGTTTAAAAAATATTATGAACTTTCAAAAGTAACATTAAAAAGTTCGGAGATAATCTCTGTACAGTATTAACAAAACTTTTTAAAGTTCAAAGCTAGAAAAATATATATATGATGAATGAGGAATTAATCATAGCAAGGAGGTGAGAGATGATCTATAAGATATAGATAAATGCCTTTTGTCACCTACTAATGATAAGCCATTGTTATCTTTTTCTTATTGTTTATATAACGTCTCTTTTAAAAATCTCTCATAAAATCTCTCTCTGCCATCGTTTTCTAAAACCTTCTTTTAAACCGAGACTAGAGGCTCGATCATACGTCGTTTGGCCGTAGGCGACACAATAACAAATTGGCTTAGCTCACTTGTCGTTGGAAAGTGAGTGTCGCACAATCGCGTTTGGCCGTAGGCGACGCAAGAATAAATTGGCTTAGCTCACTTGTCGTTGGAAAGTGAGTGCCGCACAATCGCTAGTCCACTACCTTTAAAAGTGCGATTGTGTTGAGTTTTCATAAGAGTATTTTTTTACTTTTAAAAAAAAATTAAAGGTATTTTTTAACCACTTACAAAAGCTCGAATGTTCTTTTGAGATAAAACATTCGATTTACTTGCAAAACTAATTAAGTTTAAGAATATTTCTTTTAAATTTTTTATATATAATTTTAAGAGTATTATTCAAACTTTTAAATCTTTCATCGGTATTTTTTAGATAAAATATAAACTTTAACGAAATTTTTATTAATTTAATCTAAAATTATTATTATTATTATTTTATTTTATTTTATTTTTTTGAATGACAAGTTTGTGGTACATATTATATACAAATCATTATGAGAAGAAGGATTCTGTATTTAATACTTCAAATATTAAAATAAATAAACATTTCTTGTCAACTCCGTTACATTATTTTAAAAAAATACTAATTTAAATGTTTAAAAATAGAATGAGTTTGAATATAATTAGAAATGGAATTGTCTTTTTTATGTTTTTTTTTCTTTTTCTAACTTTATTATTTAAATATAAAATAATTTAAACTAATGCGTCCATTATAAAATGAACAATATTTGTTTTTTTTTCTTTAAGAATATTAAATTAAATAAATGAATATAATATTGGATCGTGTAAACAGCTGACCAAGGGAAAGGATGCCAATAATTAAAATATATATAAAATTTAAATTAGAAAATAATATGTTGTTTTAATAATAATAGTAATAATAAATCTCCGCAAAATATTAATAAATTTTTTGAAATTTAAGGATGGTGGGAACTCTTGGATCGTACGATGGAAAAAAAAGTAATTGGCATCTATCGTGGTGGTGATAAATGGCTCATCTCGTTGTGACCTTCTCCTGAATTTTCAAAACTTCTGTCGTTCCATCTAGGACAAAGAACTCATTCATTGTCTCAGCTGTGCTACCATAGGCTCTAGGAAAGTCGAAATAGGAGAGCACTCATCTTGGGGTGGGCTTACTACTTAAATGCTTTCAGTAATTATCTGCTCTGCACTTGGCTACCCAGTGTTTACCGTGGGCACGATAACTGATACACTAGAAGTGCATCCTTCTCGATCTTCTTGTACTAGAAAAAAGAATAAAAAAATGAGAGCAAAAACCGCGTGTTGAGGTGTAATGAAACCTAACACACGTGTCGCTTGACTGATATGCATGAAAAAACAAAAAAGAAACTAAAATGTGATGTTAAATCAAAATTACATTTAAAATTTGAAGCTTTTTTGGACCTAATTTAGTTGAGATTTATAAAATTTAAATAATTTAATATTTTAAACAAAACTTGGGATTAGTTGGAATATTGGCTCGAACCATTCCAATAAAGTTCACATCCAACCGAACCCAAACTGAAATTTAAATTGAGTTGAATTGGGTTTAAACTATTTTTTAAAAAAATTATTTTTATCCATAATACATGTTACATTAATAATTAAAATTTACGTAAAATTTAAATATCAAATATTTACAAAGTTATAATGCATCAGTAAGGGTGAGATCCTGTGAGATCCCAAATTGATTCGAGGAAAACGAAACAGAAACATTCTTCATAAGGGTGTGAAAATCAGTTTTAAAAGATTGAGGGAAAGATCAGAAGGGAAAATCTAAAGAGAACAATATTTGTTGGTATTTGGCTCGAAACGTTACACTAACCATGGTTACAAATATCCTTGTTGGACCCTAAATTTAAATAAATTTGGCAATTTTTCATAAATTTTAATTTAAAAAAACTAGCTCAAATGTCTTTTTCTTAAAACTAAAATAAGAAAAGAAAAAAAAAATAATAAATAGGTAGTTTTGCAAGAAAGGGCATTAAAAATCCAAATTCTCAACCACACGGCGCCTCAGTCAAAGCCTTCACCAGAAGTACTGGCGCCAAAGCTTCCACTTCAATGGCCCCATAACTCTCAACACTTTCATTATCGATATTAAATCATCTCCTTCTCGCGCCTCTACAGAATCAAGATCTCTTCTCCTTCTTCTTCGGATTGATTTTCCTTTGCTTTAATGTAATGGCCGCCTCTGCTGCTGCTTTGGATCCTTCCTCCCTGCAATTCACGCCGACTTGGGCCGTGGCTGCGGTTTGCTTCATCTTCATCTCCCTCTCGCTCTTCCTCGAGCATTTGATTCATCTCCTCTCCAATGTAAGTCAAAATCTAGTTTCTGATTCAGTTTACAGAGGTCGATTGGATTTTGATTTTGATCTTGATTTTGCGCAGTGGTTGAAGCGGAAGAGGAAAACGGCATTGTTCGAGGCGGTTGAGAAGCTTAAATCAGGTACGATTTCCGAATCCTGAAGTCGAATAATGAAGTTAAGAGAATGAGAATCGGAGGATTAATGATTTCTGCATCTGTATTTGTTCGTCGATTCCGCAGTTTTGATGCTTCTAGGGTTCATGTCACTAACTCTTACGGTAACGCAACAGCCAGTATCGAAGATTTGCATTCCGAATAGCGTAGCGTTTACGATGCTTCCGTGCCAGAGAGAAATACAGATCAAAGCGATTAAGAATTTGGAGATGGAGCAACTGCGATCGTCTTCCGCTACAAATCGGTGGTTTTCGTGGCTGCCAGGAAAATTTGTGAGCCTCGCGGCGGGAGGCGAAGAAGAGGAGAGTAGTAGTAGCGGTGATTCTTCTTCTTCTTCTTCTTCTTCTTCTGATTACTGTACTGCGAAGGTAATGATTGGGAAACACTGAGCGAATCAAAATTTGAAATCAAGTTCGGTGTTCGTCAGTGACGAATTGATTGGTGAATCGTGAATTACAATGGCAGGGGAAGGCGTCGCTGATATCGCAAGGAGGAATGAATCAATTGAACAATTTCCTATTCGTGTTGGCAGCTATGCAGATTCTTTACAGCGTTCTCACCATGGCGTTAGGAAAGGCCAAGGTCTTCTCTCTCTCTCTCTCTCTATCTATCTTATTTATTTATTTATTTCATTTCACTCCCCTAAGTTTTGAGTTTATTGCCTTTTAGTCCTTCCGCCTTTAAAATATCTATTTTAATCTTTTAACACTAAAAGAACAATAATTTTGGTTTTTTTTTTTTTACTAAATTAATAAAAATATTTGTACTTCTCTCAAAATTTTAAATTTTAAATTTAAACTTTTTAAAAAAGTTTCAATAATATACCTATATTTAAAAAAAAAAATGCCTAAAAATTATTCTTAAATTAATTTTAAAAAAAAAAGTTGGAAAAAAAAATCATTTTAAATTTTTTTATTAATAACCATTTTTTTTAATTTCAAAAATACTTTTAAATTTTTCTAAAAATTCAAAAAATACTTACATCAAATTAGAGAAAAAATTATTTAGTAAAGGTACATTAATTAAAAAAAATTATATATATATATATTTCATATTCACATATATTTATTACATGGATATTAGAATACTCTTCCATACCCCCACATAGGATTTATAGCTTTTATCCTTTCCGTTAATCCATAAGGATTGGATACCCATATTCGAGCCATAAAATTTCGTTACATGAAATGCATCAAAACCGAAATAATCTAATCATGAGAGAAATAAATGAATTTAAATTTTTATGGGAAAATTTAGAAAAAGTTATCTGGTAGTCACAAAATATTTCTAGATCCCAATACATAAAATGCAAGATAGTTGCTAAGAAGCACAATCTAAATAACACAATATATGATCTGGTTGATTAGTTATAGTCATCTTGTAATTTTCCGACCCCTCATGAATGGGTTATTCTTAAAGTTAGACCAAGTAAATGATCAAAACATGTGTCTATTAAATAACAAATAAAACTCCATGAGCAAAACATGTGTCCATTTGTTTTATGTTACATAAGTAATATAAATATTAAACTATAGTGACTAAAATTATACTTTAAGAAAATAAAAAAAAAACTGATATTATTAATATAAAAATGTTAATTCCAAAACAATTTAAAAAATTCTAGAATACGTTGGGTTTAAATAGAAAATATATTTTTTTTAGTACTTAGTAGTAGAATGCTTCAAAACGGCAAGTACGGTCGTTTTGTGAGGTAAATTAAATATTATTGGTCTCCGGTCTAAATCAATCTGGTTCTGAGTGTTAAATTAAATTTAAGTGTGGCCGTTACAATATTTGAATTTTTATGCATACTCATTAATATATGTACTATGGATTTAAATGACTTTTCTCTCCCATATTAATTGAAAATATAATTTTATACATATAGTTTATATGATTTTAAATTTGATTTTTTTTTTTTTTTTTTTTTTTTAATTTTTTTTAATGAAATTTCAACAGATGAGACGCTGGAAAGCTTGGGAAGAAGAAACTCTTACGTTGGATTATCAAGTGGCCAATGGTAATTCAAGCAATTTTATTTTATTTTTATTGTGGTATACTACATTAAACTACCATTATTTAGGTTAAAATTATCAAAAATGCCCTCGTGTTGGTTTCAATGCACTTCAATTTTTTTTAAATAATCTTAAAATTTTCTTCACGTATGTAAATAGATTTAATTATAACAAATAATTAGATACAAACTTTTCCGTTCATGAACCTAAATGTTTTAGGGTCGTTTTTAATGGAAAAAAGACTTCAAATTTTAGGGGTTAATTAAAATAAAACTTTTTAAATTTAAGAAGTATAATTGAAATTAATCTTATAATTTTCCCGTGTGCTTAATTATGATTTAACTTTCCAATTATTAGATCCACATCGCTTTAGATTTACAAGGCAAACAACATTCGGACGTCGACATATCAGTTCTTGTGCAACACCACCATTTCTTCTCTGGATAGTAAGTTTTCTCAATCATATCTCTCATTTTTGTTACTTTCATATTTTCATGAATTTAAATGTTTGAGTGTGAGGTTATAACCTCGTGCACTCGTTCTTAGGATTGAGTTTCTATAGTCTTTTCCTCGTGCTTCCGTTCTTAGGGTTAAGTTTTTATAGTCTTTTCCTCATGCATTCATTCTTAGGGTTGAGTTTCTAATCTTTTCCTCGTGCTCTCAGTCTTACCGCTGAATTTTTAATCTTTTTCTAGTTTCTAGTAAAAAAAAAAAAAAAAACAAACGAACCCTAAGCCTTAAACCCTAAACCTGAAACATAAATTTTGCCACTATCTCGATATAGTTCATTTACTTTAAGGATGAATTCAAAATCTAAGCCAAATTGTAAAATAAATTTAGATATATATATTTTTGTTTTTAAATTTAGATATGTATTCAAAGAAATATCATTTTTTAATAGCAAAAATAGAAAATTAAATAGTTATCAAATCACCTAATATTTCAATTATTTGAAACATTTATCTTTAATATTTAATAAATTATCTTTATAGTTCAAAAAGTATATTTTGTTTATTTACATATATATAAGAAATCCTTTTATATTAGCTACTAAAACGTTATTATTATTATTATTTTAAAAAATCGAAATTAGAAAGACTAATGACAAAATTGCCTTGAAATTAATTTTGGTTGAAAATTTACAGAAATGCTTCTTGAGACAATTCTTTCGTTCCGTGGCCAAAGTCGACTACTTGACCCTTCGCAATGGTTTCATCTCGGTTAGTAAAATCTATTTACCATGTTTAATTTTACAGTATTTTGATCTCATAGAATCATCTCTTTGTTAAAAAAATATTTACCGCCATATTTTTTTACTTTTTTTAAACAGACTCACGTACAGGGAAATACTTCCTTCAACTTTCAAAAGTATATTAAAAGATCATTGCACGATGACTTCAAAGTTGTCGTCGGCATCAAGTAAATTATTTAATTGAGCCTTCAAAAAGTTATTACCTCGGCCAAAAAAAAAATTACCCTTTTAACTTATTCGTTACACTTTTTTTTTACTGACAGTCCTTTCATGTGGCTTATAGTAGTCATCTTCATTCTTGTAGATGTACATGGTGAGTTTTTCTACCCCATTAATTTAAAAGCTTAGCCTTTTATTTTGTTTTAATAATAAAATAAATATATATATATTTTTTTTTGTTTAAATTTGGCTAAAAAAGGTTTTACATATGAATGTGATGAACAGGTTGGAATGCTTATTTCTGGGTGTCTTTCCTTCCGTTAATTGTAAGTTTATAATTTACCATCTCAAGCCTACTCCGCTAGTAGATATTGTTTTCTTTAAGCTTTTTCTTTTGAGCTTTCATGAAGGTTTTTAAAATATGTCTAGTAGGGTGAGGTTTCAGACCCTTATAAAAAATGTTTCGTTCTTTTCTCCAACAAACATCCTTTATAAATGTGTGAAAACCTCTCCTAAACACATTTTAAAACTTTGAGGAGAAGTTCAAAGAGGACAATATTTGCTAGCGGTGGGCTTAGACGATTACGAAAGTAGTACATTTTAACTAAAAAAAAAGTCAATAATATATAATTTAGGAAAGATTATAGAAATTTAATTAAAATGTTTTGTGGGTGTACACGTAGATAGTGCTAGCTCTTGGAACAAAACTTGAAGTAATAGTAGCAAGGCTTGCCCTTGAGCTTCAAGACAAGACCGATGTGATCAAAGGAGCTCCAATGGTGGAACCAAGTGATGATCTTTTCTGGTTCAATCACCCCAAATTTGTTCTCACCCTGCTTCATTTCACTTTGTTCATGGTAAACTTTAGCATACTTCCTTTATCAAGGTTTGGAATTTTGTGTTTTTTAAAAATATTTAGAAAAGTTATTCATGTTTCATCTGATCAATTTTCCTTTTCTTTTCAGAACGCCTTTGAGTTTTCGTTTTTTATCTGGGTTACGGTAAAAATCTTTATTATCCTTTCCATGTTTTTTCTTTCTTGGTCAAATTATAACTTTAGTCTTTGAATTCGTTCGAGAGAGCTTTACATACGTATCCCCTGACACAATCACAATAGTCATTTTTTGAAAAATCGAAAGGTAAAAGTTTATCATGCACAAATAAATTTTGTGTACGATAGATCCATGGATAAGAATTCAAGGACTAAACTTGTAATTTGACGTTTTTTTGACAACTATTTACTTAATTTAATTTCTTTAAGCTCTACATTTTCAGCTACAATATGGGATAAAATCTTGCTACCACGAACACTTGGAGGTCATCATCACAAGAGTCGTCTTAGCGTGAGTATATCATCCATAAAATTAATATTAGTTTTTTCGTTTTTTTTTTTTTTTTGTTTCAATTTTTTCTTATGAAAAAACTTTAAAATCATTGTGTAATAATTTATTTTTCATATTAATAGGGTCACTGTTCAAGTGTTGTGCAGCTACATTACTTTGCCTCTTTATGCTCTAGTCACACAGGTAAAATATTTTTAATTATTTTAATTATATTTTTTTCTTTAATTCAACAATATGTGAAGTGGGAATTCGAGCTTGTGATTGTTGTAATCGTCAGATGGGCTCACAATTCAAAGCTGCAGCATTAGAAGAACACACAGCCAACGCCATAAAGCAATGGCACAAAGATGTGAAGCAAAAGAGAAAGAAGCATCACCATCACCATCACCATCACCATCATCACTACCTCGACTCGAGTTTGCACCAGGAAGGATCGTCTCATTCTACGGTTACCGAGCGTCAGTCGTCAAGAGTTTTCGAGAGGAGCAGCAGCAGAACCCTAAGCTCTCAAGAGATGGTGAGCTCTTTCCATCATCGAGCTCCAACTTTTTCTGAGTTCAACAATCTTGGTACTATTGAGTCTAATATTGAGTCTAATGAGATAGTTGAAGAACCTATAAAGATAAAAATAAGAGAAATTAATGAAATTAGTGAAATTCATGAAAGAAAAAACCTGGGCTTCATAGATTTTGGTTAGAGATTTTGTCAAAAGTAGAAATTATTCATTTGAATATATATATAAAAATAATTTTGAGATATGATCGATGAATAAATGAATTAGATTTGAACTATCTTGTTGATCAAATATCTTACGACAATATACTTGTTTGAGACTCAAATTATTTCACAAGTACGATCGATCATGTCAAGCTTGAATATTTCTAGTAATCTAAATTATATAAAATTATAAAGAAACTTAGTGATCGCTAAAAAAAAAAAAACACATACTTTTTTTACGAATGAAAACCCATACTAACGTTGTAACTTTTATATTTTATTACTGTAATTAGTTAAGATGTATATTTTATGACCATAATTAGTAACCGTGTAAAATAGAATTTTATAGTAAATAAAGAGTCTTAAAATACATTATTGAAATACGATAGGTTAATAATTATAATAATAATAACAACAATAAAGGTATAGGTTCAAAATCCATTCGAAATATAAGTTATATATTATTAAACAAAAACATTACATTTATTATAATTGCGAGAAAATGCCACAAGAGTAGGTTGTGGTCCACACTATACAGACAAGGTGACAAAGTTGCCGATTCCAACGGGTGAAGGTCAAGACAAGACAAATGAAACACAGTCAAAAGACCCGGGTAGAGCCTCAGGCCTTGATTTAGAAGTCTAGGTTCGATATGAGTTTAGGGTTATATGTATGTGTATATGTTTGTATGTGTATGTATATGTATATGTATAGGTATATGTATATGTATATGTATAAGAGGAACCTTGGGAAGCTATGGGGGTTTTACTGCATTTTCAAGCGCAGGGGACTGGAGCCGAAAAGATGAACATCTTTATCTTCCTCATTGCTATAGTATAATCAAAACCTTGTTTGTGTTGTAAAACCCTAAATTGAATCTCAAATTCTGATCAATACGAATGGCAGCAGCCGGAAATGGAGGAAAAGCCGACGGCTCTTCTTCTCCGAAGCCCTTGAAGTTCACGGCATACCAAAACCCGGCCTTATTCGCCGCTCTAACCACCAACAGCCTCCAACCTTCGAAGTTCACCTTCCTCTGCATCTTCTCCCTCTCCTCCGTGTCTGCATTTGCCTTCCTTCGTATTCTTTCCTGGTACGATTTGATCTATTGCGCTTTCATTTTTATGTGTTTTTGAGTTTTGTGAACGTCGTGATATTTGTTTTCTGTGGACTGTGAATCTTTCCGTTAGTTCCTGCTCCTTTGAACTCCTGTGAATCTTTCGTAGCTTTCTGTTAGTTCTGAATGAGGCTTTTATACATGTTGTCTTGAATGTGTATGATAAATTAGGAGAACTTGAGGAAGGGTTGTGCTGGAAGATGTTCTTAGATATTGTTTTATGCTCTGGATTCAGTCTTTCAGTAAACTGAAGCTAATGCCATTTTTTCCCCCTTGAATCAATGAAGGGAAAATGCGATTGTTGACAATTTGAAGCTCAAAAACTTTCCTGAAGAGGCAGCCTGTAAGCTACTAGATTATTTCCATTTGTTTATGTCTGCTTTGAACTTGAGCTCCCATGGCTGCATTGATTTTGTTTAAAATCCTATTTTTCTATGCTTCAGATTTGTCTGCCAAGGCTGTACAAACTGCGGTAGGCTTAGTCTTTTTAGGAACAGTCTTAGCTTTTTTCAAAGCGATATCCTTGTATAGAAAAAGATTGAGTGGTTTTGTGTCTGTTATAACTGCCACTAAAGGAACCAAGGATCAAACACCTCTTTCCAAGCGTCAATTGGGGCTTATGGGATTAAAACCAAAGCATGATAATGGGACATCTGAAAAAGCTGTAAAGCCTCCAAAATCTAAGCCCTACTCATCACCTTCTGATGTTCTTGTTCCTCTTCATCAATCAGTTGGCAATTTTAGTTATTCCTCTCAAAGAAACATAGATAAATTGAACTCTACCAGTGGAAGTAAAATGCAGTCTTTCACAACGCCTTTGAAATCTCCGGGTTCTGCGTCTTCCTTGTATCTTGTCTCTGGAGTGGCCTCACCACTGCCTTCTGCGCAGAGTTCATCAGGACGGGAGTCAGTGGTTTGTACCCCGTGGTCAAGCAAGCGAGTATCCTCTCTGAAAGAAATTACATCTGAAGAAGACTTTGAACAATTCCTTGCTGAAGTAGATGAAAAATTAACTGAGTCTGCAGGAAAATTGGCAACTCCACCCCCCACCATCGGTAGTGTTGGTATTGCCAGTCCTAGTACTGTGGCTACTTCAGCTAATACTTCTGGAACTACCAGAAGTACTCCCTTGAGGCCTGTAAGGATGTCACCGAGTTCACAGAAATTCACCACTCCCCCTAAGAAGGTAGAGGGTGATGTTCCCTCTCCAATGTCTATGGAGGAAATGGTTGAAGCTTTCAAGCATTTGGGAGTATATCCTCAAATTGAAGAATGGCGTGATCGTCTCAGGCAATGGTTCTCTTCCACTTTGCTTAATACTCTTGTTGAAAAGATTGAAACCAGTCATGTTCAGGTATGGTTGTTTTACTCTGTGCTTTAGCAATTAATTTTTCATTTGCCATGACTGAAATTTCAATCGTTTTCTCAAGTGAAGGCCACCAAAATTTAGGAATTCTATATTGGGCACGTTAACTCATTGATAATGAAGTTTTTGGTGCAAATATAGATTACATATAACAGAAAACATATGAACATGTGCTATAACCTATAGTTTAACCTGTATAATGGAAAATTTTAATTTTCAAGTCTCGTTTTCTAGTTCTTTTATAAACCCTCAGTGCATTCTTGAGACAGCAGCTGTGTGGAAGCAATACATATAGAAGATTTATTCCTATTTTGTTCCTTGTACATCTCCTTATGAAGATTTATGTGTGAGTTTCAAACTGGGCTGATTTGTAACTGTGTTTGAGAGTGATATTTTCGTAGTTGCTTGAGGTGTTCCGAACTTGAAATCTAATGATCATGGTATTGGTAGGTTGCACATCCTTTACACCTTATTAGTCTGCTAAACTTCTTGATTTTTTAAGGTAAAAGAAGCGGCTGCTAAACTTGGTGTCTCGATTACTATAAGTCCTGTAGGCGACTCAGCGGAATCCCTTCCCACTGTGTCTTCGGTTGACAGGACTAATGAATGGCAACCAACATTGACCCTTGATGAAAATGGACTCCTTCACCAGTTACGAGCAACTCTCGTGCAATCCATTGATGCCTCTACAAGTAAGGCTTTCCATCATTTCGATCAGAAGTTTCAAGAATTTCTGTTTCTTATAGGCCTCTGGTTATAATTGATTTGCTTGTTTTTTCACTGGTCTCAATAAACGAAGCTTTCTTTTCTATAACAATAACACAAGTAGTAGTAATAATGATAATAATAGTAATTGTTTTGCTTACAATCATCCACCTTTAATGCAGTCAAGATGCCTCTGGCAAACGCACCACAGTCCCCTCAGCAGAATCTGTTAGTTTCGGTGATGCAGGAGTGTGTTGATGCCATTACAGAGTACCAGAAACTCCTTGCTTTGATGAAGGGTGAATGGGTAAAAGGCTTACTGCCTCAAAGTAGCATTCGAGCAGATTATGCAGTACAAAGAATCAAAGGTGGGCATAGGCTTTGGATGAGCAGTTTATTATGTTTTCCAGTTTCGCGCTGTCTTGTTGATCTCTCCAAAATTTGTAGAATATATTTTAGTTAACAATGAATTTGTGAATTCTACAGATCTTTCTGAAGGGACCTGCTTGAAGAATTACGAGTATCTTGGGACTGGAGAGGTTTACGATAAGAAGAACAAGAAATGGACACTTGAGCTCCCAACCGATTCTCACTTACTCATGTATTTATTCTGTGCTTTCCTAGAGCATCCAAAGTGGATGCTACATGTGGATCCTTCAACCTATGCTGGGGCTCAGTCCAGCAAAAATCCTTTGTTCTTGGGGGTTCTGCCTCCAAAAGAACGGTTTCCCGAGAAGTACGTAGCAATTATATATGGCGTTCCTTCCGTCATTCACCCCGGAGCTTGCATACTGGCTGTTGGAAAGAAAAGTCCTCCAGTTTTCTCTTTGTATTGGGACAAGAAGCTTCAGCTTTCCCTTCAGGTTGTTAACCTTTGAGCGTCTTATCTGTTGTTCAATATCGTAGAATACCGAATGTTTACCATCCGAAACTAATGTCAACTACTATGAATCTCTGAAACATTATTGGGATAAAAAAGTAACCGTTCTGATCTTTGTTTTCAGGGAAGAACAGCATTGTGGGACTCCATATTGATTCTGTGTCACAGAGTCAAGTTCGGATATGGTGGAATTATTCGGGGAATGCATCTCGGTTCGTCTGCTCTAAGAATCCTTCCAGTCTTGAATCCAGAGCCAGTAGACTGAGTGAGTAACTGTGGTTTTGCTTTCAGCAGTCTTCTTATTGCATAAGCTTACTAGCTGTTACGTGAAACCACCAAACTGTGCTTATATGTACAACATGTATCCTGGGGAAATTGCTTTCTAACTTTAGTTTCCCAGCTTGAATGTTCATGTATTCTAGTGTGAGTTCTTCAATAGTTTTGTACTGACGACAATTCCCAAGGATCCGTAGTGACAAATTGTCGTAGAACATTTTAGAAGTCAATTTGGCCTGGCTGTATCATTATAGGTATTGAACTTTAAGCTTGAGTGGGTCATTTAAAAGCATATTTGACATTGCTTTCGGCTCATAAAAGCACTTTTAATTTATTAATGATACAATGTAGAAGCCTTGAGACTATGAGTCAATTTCTAATTCACTTTTTTGAAATTCTGCTAGAAAAGAAATACCAAAAATGATCTATATGTTCTTTGCAGTCATTTTTGTTTTAATTATTATCATCAAGAAGATTAGTATGAGGTTGAATTGGACGTAGATTCAGACTAAATAATAACTCCGACCTAAGCTAACCAAGTAAGTAACTTTACTATCATCATGATTTGAAGTTTGTGTTTTGTATGATAATACGTGTCCTATCCTATGATTCTGCACGTATCATATGGAAGTTCCATATGTGAGATGTTTATGGTGGCTTCCATCATGTCCAATGTGATACAGTTAATGTTTTGGGCAATCTCAACAAAACTTTTCTTTTTCTTTTTTCTTTTTGCAATTTCAACCTCTCTATACCTGCACATGGATCTCCGATGTGTTTCATGCCCCAACTATTGAAAGATTTTGAATTTTCATTCACCCTCCATTCGAGGGAATCATTGGGTTGTTGGTCTTATTTTTACGACATAGACTCCTGTTCATCATATTGGCTCATAATGATTTTTTTTTAAAGATATATTTAGAAGCAACCTAGAAAATAGATATAAACACGAATTCATTAACGATTTTCATTGGCCATGAAATGATTGAAGTATTTTCGAACAATTAGCAACAAAAAGAGAAGCATCCACTCTTTACCTTTGCCAACCCTTCGAAAATCTAGAAAAGATTAGGCCAAGTAAAACATTACTTGCTTTCTGGAGTAAAATTAATTTCTATAAATAAACTAAATCTCAATCAAAGCTATTTACAGCTAATTGCTCTCATCGTAGAGGAAAAAATTTGTATTACATGACGGCTACCCAATTCATTTGTGACCACATCTCTCTGTACAGTTTAACCCGCACACTACACACAAGCCATCCTACCAGCCTGCCAGCCATCTCAGGACTAGCCGTCAGGAGTGAAGAGAGTTGATGTTGGGGTAAGATGTCCCATATCTACCTATTTCCCGAATGACTGGCCAGATTCCTTTCGCTAGTTTTTTTTCACGACGATGGCTCGCTTATGAGCACAATGAGTGTAACGACTTTCTTTCCCACAAAATATTGAAAATACTTTGAAGTTTGAAGATGAGATGGACCAAAATGAATATGTACGGTCTTGCCTATCCCCAGAAAAAAATTCAAATGAGAGCAGTAACAATTCTTGGTCACCTAAAGTCCAAAGCCTACTCTGACTCGGAGTCTATAGAAAGGAACATCCGCTGTCTGACCGAACGTTTCTGGCGAGGGAATGAGAAAGGACTACCTGATCTTTGCCTACTTGCTTTGTCATGTCTGACATCATTCATTCCAAGAAGCAGAGAAGCTGATGCAAGAATATAACTAGTTAGCCTCAAAATCAACAATACATCAGAATTATGAATAAATACAAATGCAGAAACGAGAGCAGCTGGAATTCAGTAGTAGATTTTAAAAGAAGTTTACAAAAACATGATTTCATTAATTCTGATGAAATATACAAAGGGGAGTAGAGCCTCTGCTAAGGCTAATGGGAGTTGCAAAATGGTTCTCCACGAGTATAATTTCAGAGATCTTTTGGGCATGATCTTTCTAAAATTATTAATATAGTATATGAGCAAGATAATGAAAAACGGCCAAAAAACGATATGTTATGCATAAACAAATCATTAAGAACCCAATTTTGTGCATGTGCATGTGCATGCTTTTGTTAAAAAAAAATCACAAAATAACAATAATAATAATAATAGTTCTAACAAACCGGAGACAGATTTTGAACCTCTAACCTCTTGGTTGAAATGTGCCTCTAATTAATAACTTTCTCAGTTTTTGTCGCATTCCCATCTTTCAAGATGTCAATTGCTAATTACTAAAAATATAAATTAATAATTCGCACCTTAAGAAGTTCTTAGATCCAAAAGAAAATGAACATGGTCTGCGAAGTCAAGGTCCAAAAGAAAGGAAAATAAATAAATAGATGACCTTTTTTAGTTTTCACTGTAGGAAAAGTTACAAAACATTAGTCAGGAACGAGAAGAAAATAAAACACTTTCAGGCAAAACATTGCAGTAACTACAATTCGCATTCACACTCTTCAGATCTGCAACCATCATTGAATTTAACCAATGTTCACAAATGCAACAGAAGAGGGAAAACGGAAAATAACTAACCAGTATCAGACAATGAATTGATTTCGCCTCCTGTTGATGGAATATGCTGTCTTGAATTTAAACCCCTGGAGGCTGTGGACTCCCCCCCATTGCTACCGCCTGCATCACCCCCAAGCCTGAGAGAGATCCAATCTTCAGTATGAACACCATTTGATACATCAGCCTCGTCTCTGAAATCAGACTGCATAGGAGCAACTGAAGGTCTGGTAGGAAGAAATATTTGAAGAGATGGATCATCACCAGCAAAAGCTAATGGATTATCAACCAAGCTGTCATTCATTTCACCATCAGTATGACCAATTGAAGAACCTGGAACAAGAGAAGCGGGACTTATAGCTGCCTCTGGGGTAGCTAAATAGCCATTCATGGTGGAACAATTGATGGAGTCATGTTGCAAGTCAACTAGAGCCTCTGATACATCTGCATCAGAGCTAAACAATTGGAATCCAGCACCTCCTTGAGCTCCAGGGGGTAATGACCAAACAGGCATGCCAAATTCATCGTCATGGGAATTAAAAAGACCCAAGCATGAATTTCCAGCCGATAATAGAGTTGGATCTTCAGGATATGCATCAGCGAGTCCAGGAGGTGGCATGGAGAAAGAAATCTCACCTGCATCTGCATGGTTGCTCTGATAAACAGTTCCAGAGGAAACTAAAATGTCATTTTCTTCATCTGAATCACTTAGAACAATGACTTCACCTTCAGGAGCAATAGGATTTTGTTCAGTAAATCCATACTCTGAGTCAACATGTAAGGACAGGGAATTCATCTCAATCCCATTATTGGTAGAGAAATCGAAGTTTACACCACCATCCTGGTTTACACTTGGATCTTCACCATCCCTACTGCCGGTGGCACTGCTGCTCATTGGGATAATCTTCTGGTCATGACCCCCATAATTTTCCGGTAATCTACTACCAGAAGTGAAAGTATTGATATCTTCAGGTCTGCTGACTTCCCAAAATCCATTACTATTCTTCCTGATGCCAAGTTTCAGACCACGATCTGATCCACCTTCCTGCTTTATCTGCTTCAATGCTTCCATCTTTGGTTTAACTTCCTCATTAGTAACACACGAAGTGCCGTCAGAGGAGTGCCACAGGCAAAGCTCACCAAGTTCCCTGCGCTCACTTTCAGTTCTTGACCGCACACGCCAGGAACCATCAGGCTTAACCTCAATTTCTGTAACATCTTCTCCACAATGTCTCATCTGTACAACCATAATATTGTATCATTAAATCAATTTCTTTGTAAAAATGTAGAAGAAGAATGCCTACGGCATTACCATAGATGTTATACGGTTGAAATAAGGGTCTATAATAACATTCTCCAGAGCATAGTTCTTCAGACAAATTGGACACTGCCACTGCAGTAAAAATACAAACAGTTAAATATGAGAACAAGATTTGCATCAGAAATTGATGTAACAACTTGCCTTCCTTGAACGTTGATTCAATTCTACGAACACTTCAAGATCAAAGCATCCCATATGAGCACAAGGACTAAATCGTCCAGCAATCTTCATCCTTGAACCACTCATCTAGAGGACAGAAGCACAGACAGGAAAAATGCAGATTACTATCAATAAATGATTTATGCAACACAAGGTGCGCCAGTATCCAAAAAGATGTAAGAACATTCTAGCTGAAAAATGAGTTCGCACTCTAGCTTCAGTTCCTTGATTGCACAGTATTAAAGGTAATTCTTGCTACAATGTTCCTTACAAAAATAATTCTGTAGAAGTGGATATGCATGCACATCAGTAATACCCAGTAGTCAGCCAATTAGAATTGACCAAATTACAAGCTGATGGGTATCCCATTACACTCACTTCAGTTTGACAACCAAAATTTAGTCAGTGAAACCATCTAATCAATGTCAAGTCTCTGTAACATTCGTTCGTTGTCCTTAAGTTAACACTGCAAAAATAGCTTAGACCTTGCAACTTCAGAGTCCATCTGAAATGTGGTATATTCTTCAAAACTGTGAGGAATGTGGTATACACATATGGTGCATGAAAAAAGCTTAATACTGCAACATGATTGACTTTGTTGCCCAAGGTAAAGGTAATTAAAAAGTTGATAGTTAAAAGTGAGCAGAACCACTACTCAGATGACCGTGAACCATATTCTTTTTCATTTTTCTCCATATCCAGACGGTTATATGATCCACTAGACCAGTCACTTGGTTCCAAACTATTTTCCAAGATAAATTAGATCTCCGTATTATGATCATCAATTGTTATTATCACTATTTTGTTTTAGGACAAGAAACAATTCCATTGATATGATGAATTTATACAGGTGAAAACCCTATCAAGAGGAAGCTACAAAAGCCTCCTACTAATTAAACGAGTTCTCATGCCATGATTGCAAAAGGGGGAGACATTTTTACACCATGATAAAGCCGAAACAGAAAGAGATTCAAAAGGAATTTTTGACGTCTTCTTATCAGGAAAATTATGTGCCTCCTCTCATTCTATAGCAACCAAATAAAGACTACAAAGGATAACCAAGCATTATATCAGTGGGAAGAACCACAGACCATCCAAAGCCCAGAATAATCCCACAAAGAGGAAGGGGAAGTAGGATTAGTTGTACTTTTTGAACAGTTGCCACTGATGAAATATCCATCCATGAACAATGTTCTCCTATTTGCAGATGATCAGAGTATTGTGGCAATAATTCCTTCATAAGCATGTCCTCCAAGATACCCCAAGTAAAATTCTCCTTGTGTGAACTTATAAATGAGGATATTAACATGCATGACAATATCCAAAAAAGACTCCCCAGTAGCAACCTCT